TTCTACAAAAGCGAGAGGTAGAACAAGTCCCCGTGATCATCAGCTTTCACCCCAGCCCCACGTCTGAAGACACCTACGACTGGAGGCAGCAGAAGGGCTGAAGCTGGTCTTAGCGTCGCATTTACCTGACTGCGAGAAAAACTGTGAGCGTCGCCAGCTGTTGCGAACCCTAAGCGGAACCGCGGCCCCACGGGCCGGCTCTGCAGGCAACGGCACGGAGACAAAACAAGAAACACAGCGCGGTCAAAAGGCAATGATGGACTCTCAGACCCAAGCCACCTCGGCCCCGAGAGGGATTGTGACTACGACGGCTTTGGCCCGTCGCAGCTAGCTCACAACGGCCCTGCAGATCACACGGACTGCCCGTATTTAAATGCTGCTTTCGTTATGTGGCACCTAACCTCACAGGAGAGCTCTAGCACACTAAGGCTAGCCAAGGGCAGCCACCCCTTCAAGTCTTTGCATGGTGCAATTAATTCCTATTGCAGACACAGGTTTTAAAGGATTCTGCGATCCTTTCAGCGCCGTGCGTGCTGTGAACACTAGAGAGCAGCCAAGTGTTTCAGCATCACTCGGCAAACAGGCCAGAGACCTACAATCGGTTACTTGGTGTTTGCATCCATGTGTGCCTAACATAGAATGATATTGTTCTCAAAGCCTCTTTGGAAAGCACCTCCCCACTTAAAAAAAGAGAGACTTCTATTCATTTTCAGAAAATCCTGTTTTCCACAATGGATCACCTTCAATAGTTTCAATCTTGAAAACACTAGGACAATCAGTATGTTACCTATACATAAACTAACAACCTAGTAAGTTCTCAGGGGGAAGAAAACTTCAGATGATTTTTCTCTTTCTTTCTTTCTTAGTATCTACATATATGCATCTCTAAAATCAATATAAAATCAAACTACTAAACATTATCAATCTCAAGCAAAACTTTGTCATGAAAGCAAAAAAAAAAAAAGTTCTGCTTTGCAAAAAAAAAAAAAAGTTCTGCTGTGCAATGGGCACAGGCCAAATTCAGGGATGTGGCCAGATATGGTACTGTTCATCTAGGAAAAGGAGTGCCACGTGAGCAGCTGAGTGAGGAATTTACCTCCAGAAATTTTTATTGTGAGATAAAACCAATTGCCAAGCCATTTTCATCTGTGAGCAGCAGTACTAATAAAATATAATACTGACAAAATACAGCTCTTATTGCTAGGCCAGGTAAGTGCAAGATAGGTCTCTCCCTGCCCCTCTCTGTTGTGTCACAATTCTGCTGCTGCGTTTCAGGGGAACAGCCAGAAGAGTCCTTTGCATCACAGAAGCCGCACTACCAATATCAGTCAGATGCAACTCCAAAACAACCATTTTAGCTCCCAAAACCTCCACATCATTGATTAGGCACTTCTCTCTGAGCACCACACTCATGTATTCAGTTACTGTCCGGCTGAGTTCTCCACATGCTTTTTGCTCACCTTGTAGACCAGAATTCTGCAGAGTAACTTGGCTCATCTCGGGTAGTTTCTTTAAAAATGGCAATACTACACTCCCCTCTTCTTCCAGGGCTTTTGGTTTCATCACCTGTTCAGACATTTGGGGGCAGAAAACAGCATTCAAAAATCAGCAGGTTCAATCAAAGGTTAGCTTCAACTTTTTCTACTTATTTTCTGAATCAACATCATCAAAGATGAAGCCTCTGTCTCCAGAATTACAGCACAGAGTTGCAGTACTGAAGCCCTCGAAATAAGTGGTAGTTCTTTGTTGTTGACATTCACACTGCCCTGCACACCAAAGCCGAATCTAACCCAGGACCAACACTGAACTCACCTGACAGAGCAGTATGATCATGGCCATTTGTGACCTCTGCCACCACCTGCACTTGTTCAGCACTTCAAGAGGACTAAGAGGGTAAGCTCCACTGTCTACACCTTCTGGATACTCTGCCCTTCCAACACGTGGTGGGACTGAGGTTTGCAGGTTAAGTTCTCATTTTTGCTCCAGCCAGTTTACAGGTTCAAACGCTACAAGCAGACACTGGGGAGTTCCTTTGGAGGGGGAACTCCCTGATGACCACAGGATTTGGCACAGAAACCATCCTCCAGGGTCATTCCCTGGCATATTGTTTTAAATGAACTCCTGAAGTGACATTATATAAAGAAAAATACCAATTTGCACAATAAACATTACCGTGCGAGATCTATCTTCTTTTTTTTGTTTTGTTTTCCTCTCCCTCTCTTCCTTGCCAGTACATACCTCTGGTGCAGCAGGGAGCTCTGCTTCTTTCTGCTGCTCCATTTCAGGTTTCTTCACATCTTTCTCACTTGAAGCAGCTTCCTCTGAAGGGACAGGATTGGGAAGAAATTCTAATCTCTTCACAACAGGGCTGGCACAAGCTGCAGTTGACTTGAATTGCTTTTGATCTGAACCTAATCCACACATATAAAAGATAATGTTGCACGGTTAAGATATTTTTTCAAATAAAATGTAGACCTACTTCTTACAATCCAATTTCTTACTGGATATTCTGTGAGCCCATTTACTGGATGTTTTGAAAAAATAATCTTCATTCTTTGCTATAGGCAAAATTAATCTCTCAGAGAAGACAAGGCTTTAAGAGTGAAATTCACCTGACAAAATGTAGGTGCTTACATTTGACCGGGGTATCATGGGACATCCTTCATGGTCAACAAAGACAGAGAGGCAGTTCTTGGGGAAGAGTCACCCAAAGTATTTCAGACACTCCTCTTCAGCTGAGATAAGCTGTAACGTACAACGTGCCTACTGAGGTATAGATCTCTCTACTGAAGTTGTGTGATAAATCCCATCCTAAGATGCTACCCAGACAAGCAGCAATACCACAGTTAACGTGGTCTCACTGTCAGTGCTGGAGGGTATTTCAGCATGCCTGTTTCCACTAAACCGTGTCAGTCAAGCTTCAGACACCAAAAAAACTGTACTAACAGGAAGCCTTGGACTGGAATAACCTAGCTGTCATTCAGTTCTTAAAAAAACCCAACAAGTTGATGCTGGTTTACCGGAAAAGGGACAAGGAGCGCACAGGCCTGCAGCTGAGGACTGTGACAGCTAAACTACTACTGTCAGCTGGCACCACCATTGGAAGCAGAGCAGTTGCCAGCATCCCAGGCAGTGCCTAAGCACCCAGACATCTCTCGAACCTCCTAAAGCAGAATCTCAGCTTCAGATCCTGTCTCCTCTTCAACCATGGCAGCAGTGGCAGCTTCTGAATGTACCTCTTTGACAGGCTAGGGGAGTGAGCTAAGAAAGAGATGCACCCCAAGGCTCTGCTAAGAACCTGCACACAAGCAGAGACAAGAGCTGCTCCTGCTGCCAGGCAGATGCACACCACTTTGGAGCAGTTCCCACACTATTAGTGGCGCAAGGGTCACAGCATGGAAGTATCTGGCTTGTACTGAACACCAGAGGAGGTTGCTTATTCTACAAGAAGGTCACACAGTTTAGACCACATCCACCCCTCCAAAGAAGACATAATGAAAACCTATGTTCCTTCACCATTTCAATTTTGGCAATGCTATCTCAGGTTTCCTTGCCAGCCAATATTAAACTTTGCTATCAATACTTAATGTTTAGCATTTCTCACAGGTGTGGAGCCTGACACAAGGTGGCTTTGTGGTTTGTAGACAAATATCAGCAGCTCATCACTGCTGACTCTCGAGACAAGAATTTGGTTGGTTCACCTTAAAACTGCAGCTTCCACATTACGTGCCAGGTGCAATTCAAGATTGTTAACCTCTGTGCTTTGGCATCTACGAGCCAAAGTAATTAAGTCAGCTAATGAGCCCTTGCTAACAGCCCATGTGCTTCAGAGTCTTGTAGCACATCAAGAAAGGCTGGATATGCTTCTAATCTTGGGGGAATGGTGCCCCATTGAAGTTTGAGGGCAAAGCTCAATTGTTTAACCACGTTTATCCTCAACAAATAGGAACACTATGCTTATATACCAATTACTGCCAGAGATCTCATTTACATATCTACTTTAAATAGTACTTTTTACTTGCCCATACCAAGGTGAACTTTGACAGACACATTTTAAAAAATGAACAACAAAAAAAGACCATGGACTTAGTACGACAGCAGGCAGTAGACAAAATGGCTACTCAAATGTTTCAGAAATACCCTTTTGAGGAAAATAGCTTCAAAATTTACCAGCAAATTCCTTTCCCCAGATTAGGAATCATGCATAAAGGCTTTAAAGCAGAAAATCAGGAGTGTGCATAATACTGTCCATTTAAAGCCCCTACAAGGACTGAAGTGCCCCTTCTTATTCTCCTTCCCCATTTCTTAATGTCTTGGGGGGAAAAAAAGAAGCGTTAAACAGAAGCTATTACTGATTGATGATTTCTGTCCTGATTGCTTTCTGGTTACATCACGCTGCGGCACCAGCTTTTCACTCACACAAACGGTGAAGCAGACAACTCGCATCCCGAGCAACGTGCAGCCAGGTGTGTCATTTCAACCACAGAATGACAGAACAGCCCAGGTCAGAAGGGATCTTGACAGATCATCTGGTCCCACCTTCCATGGGAAAGGGAGCCTAGGGAGATTGTCTAGCATTCTATTCAGTCACACCTTGAAAACCTCCAGCCGTGGGGACTCTGCCACGTCCCTTGGGAGGTTGCTGCAGTGAATGATAGTTCTTACTGTAAAAAAAGTCTTTCTTATGTCCAGATTTCTGACATCTTCTGTATTTTCTAACAAACACTCTCGGTGCCGCTGCAGATGTACTTATTAGACTCCTGCTGCAGGGTGGGTCTAAACCCCAGCCGCCTTGGTCGGTAAGGGCAGCAGCCACCACCCACCTGGGGACGGGCACGCTGGGCTCTGAGGTCCCGCACTTCCAGGGCTGGCCTCGACCTGCTGGGTGGCGGCTCTATCTGCTTCCACCGGGGAGGCCTGCGGAGAATACAGTAGAAACATAGTGAGTACAGTGGAAATAAAAGCATGTATTAATTCCTCAAGGCAGTACTTGCTGCTGCTTTGCAATGTGTTTGAACCAGACTGGTTTAGAGCTCAGCAGGGAACTGGGGAGTACGTTTTGGAGCAGTACGTGCCGCTCGGGTATTGAATCACCAGGCTTTAATCTCCTTTTCAAACTGTTCATCAGCAGCCATTAATGTGGTTGGTTTGGAATAGCTCCTACAAGCTTTTAAAATTGTAGGATATCTTGGATTGTGTTAGCTGGAGATAAGCATACATTTCACCCCTAGTTTCCTCTTCCAGATTAACACAAAAATGTATGCATTAGTGAATACATAGCACATACTAGGGTTTGAAAAGTGGCAAAGAAATTAAATACTTCCTTTATTTCACGGTTGTCTAAACAATCTGTTATCTGAAGGGAAAAGCCAGAGTGAGTATTAAAGGTAATGAAATACTTGAAACACTATTAAAAGAGGACTGAAAAAATACAGTGAGACCGTATCGAGCCAATAATCCAAATGCCTTTGAAAAGCCAGCTTCCTGACCCAGGACAAGGCTGTTGCAGAGCTAAAACGACACTGTCAAAACAAGGGTAGCAGTTCAGCTGATCTATTTAGCAGCTTCCACCATACATCCGCTTTCCCAGTAGGCAAATCAAGAAAAATCTTCAGCAAACGGATCAGCCACGGCACAGTGCTTCTAATGCACGAAAGATCTAGAAAATGGCACATTCAACAAAGGAAAATAAAAAAAAGCAGACTACTTTTAGAAATAAAAAGTAACATATTTCAGAAGTAGTCTATTGTAGACTTGCTTTCCTGTCCCCCTCCCACCCCTCCATGTTATTAACAGCTACAAGGGAGGAAATCTGATGAAATTTCCTCTTTTCTGGGGGCAGGATTCAGACCTCCACCTTCTGCACGGATCCCGTTTCCCATCCCCGCAGACCCACACGGGCCTATGCCCCCTCATCCGTCCGTGCCCCATGAAGAGCAGACCTGGGCTCCCACAGCTCGGTCACCAGGGACGTATGCCAGCAGTGCCAACAGGATGCCAACGCCTGTGGACACATTTTGGCTCCTGAGAGCTTTGCTGTCGGCAGAGCTCAGGAATCCTTGCCTCTCCTCCTCTCTAGAGGGAGGCATCCTCCGGAAAGGGGCAGGGAATGTGTCTGGGAAGATGCCCTGCGAGGAAATGGTGCGGATCAGTGTGGGGCCATGGCCAGGGGCATCGACCCAGGCAAACTCAGCGGGCAGCAAGCAGTGCCAGAAAAAAGAGAAGGAGCCCGTGGCTGCCAAGGGCTGTTCTGCCACCTCGCAGCAGGACAGGCGCCAGATCGTAGCCATGGGTCTCTAGAAGAGGCCGCGTGTCTCCTCCGGTGTCTGCTCGGGTGGCTGCCCACCATCCTCCCCACTGCCTGGCGTTTTCCACTGCACCCTCACCTCTGCCCACCCTCACCCTCTGCCCCAGGCAAGGCACAGGGACATGTCCCCCACCTGCCTAAAAGCTGTTCTCAAATTGGATGAGGCAGAGGGTGAAATACACACTCCAAAAAGGCAGCATGGAAAGTTTGAGGACCTCTTCTCCACTATGTCCACCTGTGAGTGTGCCTATACCAAGAGTAAACAAGGCACAGAGCTCCCCCTCCATGCGACACACGCTCCAAGGACAGACGGTCACTGGTGATGAGGCACAGGCTAAAAAATAGGCCTCAGAGGAATGCTCCAAAGACTGTAAGTTCTGTGCCCCAGAGATTCACCCCTTGCCACTCTATTGCTCTTTTCTCCCATGTAACCCACCTCTCCCTTCCCCAGCCCATCTGGATGCCATCCTGTGTTTCACTGAGAGCTTTCCCACTGAAAGGTCCAGCAGAAGAACACTGCGACTAAAGAAAATGTCACCTTCAGCCTTAGTTCTGGCTCCTGACACAACAGCAGCCAGGGAAGAAGGTACTGGAAAGCCTTCCCAAACTTGCTCAATGCAGAAATATTTATTTTCTCCATGAGGACAGCCAGACCAGTGTAACAGGCTGCCCAGATAGGCTGCGCCATCTCCATCCTCAGAGGTTTTCAAGACTCAAATGACCAAGCCCTTAGCAACTTGGTCTGATCTCATGCCTGATCCTGCTCTGAGCAAAAGACTCAGCTAGAGACCTACAACCAGAATTATTCTGTCATTGTACAACCTATAAACCTTTGTTAAACCTAAACAAATGGCTATTATCAAGAGCTCAGGGTTTGCCCTAAACAAGGTAGATTTTAACTGGAAAAGCAAGAGGTTTTTCTCTACTCAGTGCTCCAAAGCATAAGCCCTTCCAAAGAAACTGATGCACATTTCAATTAATAATGTTTATATTGTTATTATTTTTGGTAAAGCAATGGAATTCATCCTCCACTCTCAAAAAGCAACTGTCTGAACTGGAAAGAAAAAAAAAAAAGAAATTCAGCTTCAATTTAAATTTCAAACTCAAAGGCTTTGACGCTATAAACAGTGATAAACTAGGGCCGATATAAAAAATGTTAGTGTTACACACATCTGGGGAAGCCAAGTGCCGATGGAAGCTGGAGCTGGGGAAAGAGCACAGCCACGCTGCCTGCTCAGAGGGTTTAAAAAGCTCAGCGAATGCACACACACGACGCACCTCTGGGTCTAGAGTTACCTCTGGAACCTAAACATGGTGCTGTGTCATGTAGCTATCCTGCACAAGTGCAATAACTAAATCTACCCCTAACCTATATCCAGGAGGTTGAACCAGGTATAGACATAGATTTTATTTATAGAAATTCTTTCAAAGAGGAGTTAAAAAAAAAGAGCTACTACTTGCTGCAGGAAAATTGAATTTTGCAATGGCATGCTGCAGAAGTTGTGTTTCTGCTCAGGAGACTTGACTCTTCCTCCTCCCTCTGCTGAGCAATTAAATGCTAGCGACACACAGCTAAAAATATAAAACTGATTAGTAAGTAATTTATAAAAAAATTAAGTCAACTTCACTGGGGAACTCTCTCATTCCCACTATATCTAATTCTATTTATAATACCAAGTAATGTAACATTATCTAGTATTTCATCCACAGGTATATGATACACTTAAGAAAATTCTTGTACTGATACAGGTGATAAAATGTCTTTTCTACCACAAACTATCATAGTTCACATTTCATAAATATTTTGTAATCGAATGATGATGTTATCACTGAACATGAAGAAAGGCATACAAACATTTCATTGTACTTAAGAGGATCGTATTTTGACATGGACACTGAAAAACCGAACGACTTGGCGAGTGACATTTCAGAGGAGCTCAGGTGCTTTGGGATAAAGGACCCGCGCAGCCTCTCGGCACCACTCCGCTGCATCCACACGTGTTCGTGCGGGCACAGATGTCCTTCTGCAGGACCACAGAGCCGCTCCATAGCCTGGTTCTCCTGCAGGTGCCTACGAGGGAAGGTCACACAATGTCTGCTCATCCACCGCCACAGGCAATGAAGCCTCCAAGGGAAGTAGGAAAAACCTTGCTTCATCAGGGCTGTGGTTATCTCTGCCCCCAGATCCAGGCTGGTGTGAAGACTGCCCCATTAACTCCTGAAAACTGAAGAATGCTGTCTACTTGGTTTAGTGTTTTTACTACTCCATGCATCTACCTACCCAGGAGTTAAAGTGAACTTCCCCATTTAGGATTTAGAAGCCTTAGCCCACAACGGAAAGTTAAATATTGTGATTGCAGTTGCAGTTGTGAGCACATCAGTAACAGAGGACAACGCAGCTCCTCAGTTCTGCTAACCAAGGTATCCATTTAACAAAGAACAAGCACAGCTGACTATACAGTGTTATCAAACACCTATTAGGCATGAAAACGAATTAGTTCAGATGTGGCAGACAGGTTTTTTATCCCATAAACTAGGACAGCAGTCCAAGTACTTCTTTAATTAAGATCATACAAGCCAGAAATAGCCACATTGCCTACTGCTTACACCCTCATAAAACCCTAAAAATACAACAACTAGGAACTCCTAGAACACTGAACATCAGAACTACTACAAGAATCCAAACTCCAAAGGAAGTTATAGTAGAACTTTATTAACCCTTATGGTAAATTAAATAAAAATGTTAACACTACTTGTATACAAAATCACGTGAAATGTCATTACTGTATTTTCTATGAAAACATGACAAAAAGCTGTCTGGAACCAGTGAGAATACAGAGATATTGGGAAGAATCAAGTTAGAACTACAGTTTAAATTCCATAAAATCACTCAGGAATGAAATTGGTTGCAGTATCAATAGCCACATGCAGAAATTGCCTGACACATCTTTCAAACTTCTGTGATTGAAATGCTACACATATCATTGACTTTAAAATTTTCATAGGATAATTTCCTCATCAAAGCCAGCATTTTCTGTTGTTGTGAGTGGTAACGGTGACATGATCTTGGGCTGCCACAGCTAAGTGCCTTGCATGCTATGCCGGTACAGTACTGCAGCCAGAACACTGCTCTGCCACATGAAGCCATGTGCCTCATCTGGCAGCTGTATAATGCTATTGTCAGGCCAGCGATTACAACCAGAGATGAGGGTGGATCAGTAATTGACAGAAGTGTTGAAAGTGTTGCAAGAAATAGTGTTAAGTATTCCTGCTAGTCATTTTTCTAGAGTTATTACTGCTCAACTGGGATGTAAAATAAGCTCCTGTCACTCATAGACACTGAAAAGTGCATGAGTGTCTGGAGGACGGGAGACACGGATGCTAGATTCGTAACCAAATCCTGAGCAGAGTTCCCTTCTAGCTGCTTTGAAGCTTTGCAGTTCTTACTTCTCATCCTAAACCTTTTCCCCTTCAGGTAGTTCAGCCCTTCATGTATCTTCCCATGTGTGGTTCAAGGCAAAGCTGTCAATTTGGAACAGAGGTACTTACTCTACAAGTGTTTCTTGTAATAAATCAAAGAACAGAGACTTGTCCTACCAGATATGTACAAATCAGGATTTTAACTCTGCTTTCCTGTAGCTTGGCTAACAATCGTCAACCACAAGAAAGTTCATACTTTAATCTCAGTTCAATCAGTGGATTTTTGAAGATGAAGGAGAGCGTTACTTGGATGCAGAAAACAAGTTTATTTTGTGCCAAGCACGCAGTGATTAGAAATGGACAAGTTTAAGCTAGCTAGTGAAAAATTAAAAGAAAGCCAAAATCTCTCCCCACCATCACCACCTCACCCTGAGATCTTTTTAAAGTTGCCATCTATATTTTTTTTTTTTTGGGTTGATCAGAGAAAAGCTATAACTAGAGCTATAACAAGCCAATAATTTCTAAACACTGATACAAAGATTGGTTAAAATGAAGTGATGTTACTCACCAAGAAATAAATCCCCCTACACTAAAATCTGCATAAATATTGTTTTAAAACAAAACATTTACGTTGTCAACTTCTGATTCAAACAGCTAGAGGACACAACTACTCAGCATTTGTAATGTGCATTGCTGTTCTGTATAATGGAAAGAAAACATGACCTAATGGCTAACAAGGGTGAGGAGATGATTCTTACGTTATTGCTGGCATTGCCACTGACTGATCAGTCAGTCTTTGGGCTTTTGCCCCAGTTTTTCCAGCTGCAATAAGAGAGGTGCGCTTTACCTACCACCTCTCTTAGCAGCACATTGCTCCACAAACACCAGTGGGATATTTTCATCCTGCTTATAGGCCAAATTTATCTTTTCTAGCCTTAAATCATAGGCAAATTTTCACAAGCTACTTTGAGTAAAGGTAGGTCTCTTGTAAAATCCCACCCCCAAAATCTAAGTACTACAGACACAAGTATAGTTTCTTGGTAGTATTTTTCTTCACCATCATTCCCACCTGCTGCAGCTTTTTGCATCTCACTTCATAGTAGATTTAGGCAGGAATTACATGTTTCCTAATCAGCCTCTGATTGCCAATCATTA